CCCTCTGGACAGCACATCCCTTCCCTCTGAACGCACATAGCATCTTAACTTCTGATCCTGGCTCAGAAAGAGGAATTCTAATCACACCTCCTGAAGTCACATGAACTCCAACACAGCATGCTGTCCTACTTCTGGGAAGTGAAAGAGCAGAGGGAAGGTGCATGAATGGAGGAGTGACCCTATGTTTTGTAGACTGATACTGGTCCGATCCCAAAATCCAATTCTTTCCTAAGAAACAATCCCAAAAGCAGATGTGTGCACTTAAGTGGAGAATTTCCCTCTATCTGCAAGACCTCAACACATAGTGCCTCTCACTCAAGTTGACAGAGATGGGAACAACAAATCACATCAAGTGGAAGCTTAGCCTAGGTGGAATCTTTATACATGATTTTTACTGCACTGATTTCCAGCAGAGCTTCTAGTAACTCTTCAAGACAGAGTTGAAGATCAGAGCAATTCTTACACCTTTTCCTGGCAGTTCCAGGAAAGCAGCTGACAAAAAACACCGCCCAGAGAAAATGAAAGCCTCTTTTTCAGAGCTGCAGATAATCACTACCATCACCTCAGTCAGTAACTTCTAGGTATGCTGACAAAAGTTACCACTCCTAGTGATGCACCGAAAATTGACTCTTCTTCCCTTCACTGAGCCTGAGTCCACCAGCAGAAACTAAACTCATTGTACACCAGGAATGGAAAAGTCAGATCCAAGACCATAATAAAAACTCAGGGAATGTGAGAATTTGAAGACAAAACAGTGCATGGCACAACAAAACAACCGACACAAACCTCCCTTGAACTCAGAGCAGTGTCGACCCCAGGATCATATGACATCAAGTGTTTTTTTTTCTAAGGATCAATAGTTTCATCAAGACAGTCATACCACAGGCTGGAAAAAAAAGCAGCTTTGAGAATATGATCCTGACAAATTAAACAGTTTCTGTTTATCTAAAAAAGAAAAGGAAGCATAAGAATAGAAAATAAAGCAAATGCTGGCAAACCTGTGGTCCATAAAGAACACCCTCCAGATACTAAGAAACACTGGATTTTTTTAACCAGAGGCCTATGAAAGATCATATAATAGGTACTCTTAAAAGTCTTATACAGTAGGGAGATTTATTGAAGCTTTGTAGAAGTTAAAAACCAGCTTTTCCCTGTCTTATATTCAAGCTGCTGATAAACAACCACTGATCATATTTAGCTGGTGGAACAACTGGATCAAGGTAATATGATTAAAAAATTAGGTAGTTCTGAAGGCTGCAGGAATAGAAATGAAGGTTTGGGTTTGGTTTTTTTAAGGACAAATGTAGGTCTGCAAACTAGCTCACTGAATGGAAAAGTCAGCTCAAGAGAATCAAACACAGTGAAATCTGAGCCAGTCACTGAAGCAGCATGAAAGAAGTCAATGGCAGTACTGTCATGCATCAGGCAAGGGATTTTCATAGCTATGGGACAAGGTGGAGATACTCCTCTAGAAGGCACTTGTTCATTGTATCCATTCCATGCTACCTCAGACTACCCCAGTTACTAAGAGCTGTTTTGAGGCACAAATGGATTTACAGCATAACAAAAGTTTTACATTTCCCAGAGAAGATGAAGACTTCTTTTCTTGCCCCCAAAATCAGGCAAAGACTTAGCACTCCTTAAGAAAGCATGGATGATCAGTTTACAAGGCCCCTTCACGACACGAGCAGACCATGAAGTAGTTTGTCTTCTAATCCTTACAGCAGTGAAATTCCAAATTGCTTTCCAACACAAGGCATCAGGACAAAAAGTCACCTTGTGACTGAGCCTGCAAGGGACAGCACCTCAGTGTTACAGCTGACAAAAGCCTCCTGTGGGAAGATGTATCTGCTCCCTACAAACCAGTTCTCACTGTCGGCTATTGTATCTCTGATCTTCCCCAGAGCACACAGTAACTAGTTCAAGTTACTTTGGCAAAGGCATAATGCTTCCAAGTTATCAGATACTTCTTGAACTAGGATTTGGGCCATGTGCCCAGTCACTTTGCTCCAGTATGTGGTCACACCCTTAGAATCACAGAGCTGGAAGAGACCCTTGAGGATCATCCAGTCCAACTCCTGGCCCTGCACAGGACATCCCTGACAATCACACCCTGTGCCTGAGAGCATTGGCCAAACACCTCTGGAGCTCTGTCAGCCTTGGGGCTGTGCCCACTGCCCTGGGAGCTGTTCAGTGCCCAAACACCTCTGGGGGAAGAACCATTTGCTAGCCTCCAGCCTACCCCACCCCTGACACAACTTCAGCCCATTCCCTGGGTCCTGTCCCTGGGTGCCAGAGAGAAGAGGTCAGTGCTGCCCCTGCACTTCCTTCCCTGAGGAAGTTCCATACAGGAATTAACACTCATGAACAGAGGGAGTGTTCCCTAATCCATGTCCAATATCCATGGGAATGCAGTGCACTATTTTCTAGTCATGGATTTTAATGTCCCTACAGAGAAAACCTGAGGCAGGTCCATTCAAGGTCATTTGCCTGGAGAAGAGAAGGTTGTGTGGAGACCTCAGAGCACCTGTCAGGAGCTGAAGGGGCTCCAGGGAAGCTGCAGAGGGACTCTGTGTTAGAAGCTGCAGGGACAGGACAAGGGGCAATGGGGACAAATTGAAAGAGGGGAAATTTAGGCTAGATATTAGGAAGCAATTGTCCCTGTGAGGGTGGTGAGACACTGTCCCAGGTTGCCCAGGGAGGCTGTGGCTGCCCCAACCCTGGCAGTGTTAGCCAGGTTGAGCCTTGAGCAACCTGGTGTGGTGGGAGGTGTCCCTGCCCAGGGCAGGGGGTTGGAACTGGATGATGTCTAAGCTCCATTCCAACCCCTAAAATTCTACGACCCATTTGGAAAGATGCTGCTATGAGAGCTTCATATCCAGTTTGTACCCAGCTAAATATGCTCAGTCAGGACTTCAAAAGAAAAAAACCTCTTATTGGACATATTAAGCTCATCAAGTACATTTTCCACTCCAAGACACCTACTGTTGACACTCAGAGTGCCGTTGTCTAAGCTCCATTCCAACCCCTAAAATTCTACGACCCATTTGGAAAGATGCTGCTATGAGAGCTTCATATCCAGTTTGTACCCAGCTAAATATGCTCAGTCAGGACTTCAAAAGAAAAAAACCTCTTATTGGACATATTAAGCTCATCAAGTACATTTTCCACTCCAAGACACCTACTGTTGACACTCAGAGTGCCGTTGGTCAGATAAGCTTCCAAAGTGACATTGCTCAAAGTAATGTTCACACTCCTCGTGCTGATGTGCTTGGAGGTGATACATCTGTACCTTGTGCCCATGTTTGCCTGAATGTTGCTTTTGTGGGATACCTTCTTCACATCTCCTGCAGGAAGAGGAGACTGCATTAGTACTGAAGAGCATATTTAAAGCAACAAATGAATACTACATCTGGAAGGGTAGCACAAATACAACAGGAAGTTTTCATTTTACCTGCACTTGAGTTAGGGAATAAAGTTGCATCTGACAAATTGTACTGGAAAACAAACTCTTCAACTTGGTACTTGTCTGCAGATTCTGAGAAATTCAGGCTTAATGAATGTCCTGCTCCAAAATCCAAGACCAGAACAGGATGGGATGTGTTATCTTTACCACACGAGCTCTGAGAGTCTACAGCAGCATTTTGGGGAAGAAGAAAGTGTGCAAGCTGTGGGGTAGAAAAGAAAACACATGTAAGCTTTGCCTTGCCTTTCTCAACATCCTAGGAAACTGTCACAAACCTCAGCACATGCTATCAGATGGTTACCAGTGCACAGCAAGTAAGGTGTTACTGGGTTTAAGAGTCTCACTCTCTGGAATTTCAGGACAAAACACTACATACTCACAGCACCTCTCAGGCTTTTTTCCCTCCTCAGCTAGCACTGTGAACTTGCAGCTACTTCTGTACTAGGTGACCCCAATTTGGTAAACTCTGGACATGTGAAAAACGGGAGGATTGAAGCATTGCTTCTTGTAGGAGCAGAACAAAAGCCAATGGTACACCCTATGTAGCTTGGCTGCAATACTTTGAGTTCCCTACAAACTGTGAAGTAACTTGGTGTCTGAAGAGCAGTACAACATTTACTGGAAAGTTTTGAGCTTGCTGTTTACAAGAAGAAACAGACAAAAGCATGTTATGAAAGCAGTGCAAACACGTCCACCAGTATCAGCAGGATTTCTGACCACCAGCACCACTGAAAAAGTGGATTATGCAATACAACTCTCAGCTCAAATCACATGGAGCAAATGCACCACTGGAAAAGTAGCAGGAGTTTTTAAAACTCTTGTATTAAACTGATGGCTAGGAAAAGAAATCAACAACACACAATTGCCATAAGACCATAAATTATCCACAATTCCTGCTTAGTAGTGAACAGAAAAAAAAAGCCCAAACCTGAAAAGCAGAGTATTTTAAATGCAAATTCTTAGCTTTCCATTAACAAGATTTTACAGTTAATATGGAAAACTTTTAAGCCTGGAGGTAGCAAATGTCTAAATTTCAGTCTAAGTGAGAAGCTCAGAGTTCAGGGAAGTTTCCATTTCAGCTCAGATTTAGGCCACACGAGTATGACCAAGTTCATCCAAGACAACTGGCAGCATTTTTACAGACCCAGTGAACTCCATCTTAGCTGCCAATAGGATTGGGGTGGAATTTCAGTCACAAAACTGATTTCACATGTATTGTTTGTGACTGTTTCAGGCAGCCTTAACCCCATGGTTTAATTAGAATCACAGAATCATTGAGGTTGGAAAAGGACCTCCAAGACCATCAAGTCCAACCTGTGACCCAAGACCACCTCCTCAACTAGACCAGAGCACTGAGGGCCATGTCCAGTTGTTCCTTGCATACCTCTAGGGTGACTCCACCACCTCCCTGGGCATCCCAATGCCTGACAACCCTTTCCTTGAAGAAATTCTCCCTGATGTCCAGTCTGAACCTCCCCTGGCACAGCTTGAGGCCATTTCCTCTTGTTGCCTGGGAGAAGAGGTGACCTTCACCTCGGACCAACATGGATCTGGAGGTTTCTCTCAGCCCCAAAGGCAGGAGGCAATTTTTAAAGCATTTCAAGCTCTGCACTGCATTGAACTCAGTGCCTAGGGACTGGGTTTTTTTCTTCTAACCATATACATAAAACAAAAGCAAAGCAAAACCCAAAGACATTTAATAAACTTAATAAATTGACATTTAATATTGCCTCAAGATACAAAAGGCCAAGGACTTGAACCTCAGGCACCTGCAGTGCAAGTTACTGCTGCTCCTGGTGCAGGTGCCTTTCTCCCTCTGGTTTTAACCACACGTAGCTGCCTGGACCTGAAAAACTTTTCCCAGCACAGCCAGTACCAAAATTCACACATCCCTATGAAATGCATTCATTCAGCCCCACCTCGTCTTCTCCCCTAAGGAACAGAACCTGAAAATTCCCAGTGGAGATGTATTTGCAGCCTGCTGGGAGCTACCAGCAATGGGAAGAACAGTGCAGGAGCAGACCAAGAGGGAGCACTTTCCTTCCATGAGTAATAAAGAAAAGCTGATGCAACATGACTGAGAGGGCAAAAATCTTGGCTGAAGCAGTTTCTCATGCAGAAATAAGACACATTTGATGAACACTACTTAGAGACAAAGAGTGAGACAGCCCTTACCTCTTTTTGCCCATTGCTTCTGTATTCCACTGAGAAGGCTACTGTCAGATCAGCAATTATGCAGACCTTGCCACTTGAATCTTTCACTTCAAATGAAGAGGAAGCCTGTAAAAAGCCTGTTAAGAATGACAAATGGTTAACTGGATGTGCCAAAGAGACAAATAAGTACAACTGTATGTTTTGGGAGGATAACCTTAACAGCAGTTGAGTTTAGAAACTTGAGGATTAATGGTCTTTATATTAGCTTCAACATCACTAAAATACAGAGGGCAAATATAAGACCATAAAAAGACAAAGCCATCAAAACTGTTGACAGGTTGTCATGTGCAACAAACACCAGTTACACTATCGAGGGCAGTTACTCAGTGTTCATCCTGCACAGCAACTGTTGTACAATCTTCACCACAACCAGCTTAGCATGTTAGACCCTGCAAGCCTCCAGCACTCAGTCTCCCCATACAGCACAGCCATGCACAGAACCATGGAACCATCAAGGTTGGAG